GGGTGCAGGTTGGATTTTTTTGGAGGGGGGAGTTAATCCTCGGCTCTGTAGGTGCAGACACAGAGTTGCCTGGGCTCCTCGCTTCATGCACTTTTAACAAGCTTGTGGGGTTTTTGCAGGAGGGACTCGCTAAAGGGGCTAGAACTGGACGTGAGAAATGGCCGCGAAGTTGTTTGAAAGCATCGGGAAGTTTGGCCTGGGGTTAGCTGTCGCAGGTGGAGTTGTCAACTCTGCTCTTTACAATGGTGAGTGGGAGAGGGAGAGTGTTTCCCGTTCATTTTATATCCTTTTTATCCATGTCTTTATTGCTCTGTGCCTTTATTATTAGTGGCATCAGGGGAAAATAGGCATGAGACTCTGCTGTGCTGGTTTATACTGACCTTCTGCATTGGGTAGGCAAGAGGATTGCGGAGTCCCTTCACTAGAAACTGTCAATGAGATGCTCTCCTTGAAAGCAGGCCGAGAGGTCGAGTCGTGGCTGAGTTGTCTCTTTTGCTTTGTTGCTACTAGCAATCTACTTAATTTCACCACTCTCCTGCAGCAAAAGGCCTTAATTAATCCTGACAGACTGTTGATATCTGTCATGGAGAATGTTCTGATGGTGTGCAAGTACAACAGTGAAACCATGCTGTTTCATTCTAGTTGATGCGGGCCACAGAGCTGTTATCTTTGACCGATTCCGTGGAGTCCAGGATACGGTGGTAGGAGAAGGTACCCACTTCCTCATCCCTTGGGTACAGAAACCGATCATTTTTGACTGTCGATCTCGCCCACGTAACATTCCCGTGATCACTGGCAGCAAAGGTAAGTGTTCTCGACCAGGCGACTGTAACAGAGTAGTGTCACTCTGAGTGTGTGCCCACTGTAGCGACCTGCGTGACATTGAGTTCTTTGCCTCAGAGGTGTTCTTTCCCTCTGCCTCAGGTGGCAGAGAGAAGATGCTCAGCAGCTTATCAGCCCTGAGGAGAGAGCAGTGCATCTGAATATCGTGCAAGACTGTGATCCAAGCGCTCTCGTTATATCCTGTGTCTTATTCTGATGTTGCTTTTGGATTTCTTTGTAGTTAGCAGTTGGGTGGATGGGGCATGAGAAGAAGTTTTACTATGGTCGTGACTTCTGTGATCTTTTAACCTTACAGAAAATCACTGAGTAAGGGTTCTGTCTTCTGGACATGGTGGTCCTATGTGTGCTGAGTCCAGTCTGGCACAGAGTCATTGATCTGTCTTTTTAGTTACAGAACAGATTAAGCAACTTCTTGTTGCAGGGTTTTAGTAGGTTGTCCGTTTAAATGCAAAATCTCTGCCTCTGCAGGAGGGCAAATAATTCCCTGCATCAGAAGCAAACTGAAACTTCAGTCTTATCTTTTTAAGAAGGATCTAGATCCCTAGGTGAAAGGGACAGTAAAAATAACTTGTCTCTGCCGGCAAAGAGAAGCCTGAGGGTGTGGTCTTTCCCATTTAGTTACCCTGGAAAGGCCAACTTCAGGACATCTCTTGTCCCCACAGTTTGCCACTAAACTTGTGCTTCTCTCTCTCCCTCCCCCCCCCCCCCCTCTGCCCCCAGATCTACAGAACGTGAACATCACGTTGCGTATCTTGTTTAGACCAGTGACCGCCCAGTTACCCCGAATTTTCACAAGTATTGGAGAAGACTATGATGAGCGTGTCCTGCCTTCAATCACAACTGAAATCCTGAAGTCTGTTGTGGTAAGGACAGCACGACAGCTGCTGGGCTCTGCCTGTCACCTTTCTGTCCTTGTTTTTTTCGCAGTGAGATACCTGCTAGCATGTGGAATATCTAATACTCCAGACTAAAGCTTCTCTTTCCACTCTCCAGGCTCCAAAGGGTTATCCAGAAAAGCTGATAATTGTAGTTATGCTGTTTGTTTCTTTGCCGTTCTGACGGCTTGCCTTGACTTAAGGCTCAAGTTGGGTGTAGTCTGGACAGCAAGAGGTTTCTCTGTTACCCGTTCTCAGCTGTTAGCTTCTCCCTTTGGGGGAAACCTCCCCTCCAGCTCACACTTAAATTTGCAATCATTCATTCTTTCTCCTAGTTCTAGTGAACAGGTAGCTTAGTGTTTGCTAGCTTTGGAAGATAAATTGGATTAACTCTGGGGCTTACAGGTGCAAAGACAAACAGAATATGAAAAATCTATTGTTTCTGGAAGCTTTGTTCTCATTTTTGTCCATCCTAATATCAGGCTCGCTTTGATGCTGGAGAATTGATCACTCAGAGAGAGCTGGTCTCAAGGCAAGTGAGTGAAGACCTCACGGAGAGAGCAGCGACCTTCGGCCTCATTCTAGATGATGTGTCCCTGGTAAGAGTTCTCCCTTTTCAGTTTTTCTCTCTCTTCTTGCAGATAAGAGTAGCGGAGAACAGAACCAGTGGATGGCCAAAGGGGGACAGAATTTTAGACGTAGGCGAAATGTTTATTTGTCTGGAGTTGCATGCAATTTAGTGGTTACAGCTCAAGTCAGTATGTCAGGTTTTGTCACTGGCCTTCTGTGACCTTGAGAAAGCCCTTGAAGGCTCAGCTGTACTGTCTTCTTGCTGACCTCACTATTGTAGGTTTCTGTAGTTAAAATAGGGAGCAAATGCTTTCTGTGGATGATGGATCAGTCTGCAAATTGCTTGAGAGCAGCCTGTTGTTCCACAAGTGCTCTGAGACACAGGGGGAAAGTAGGCGCTCCAGCGAAAATCTATGCCTTTGATAGTCCTGGCTGTTTCCTACAAACATGTCTTCTCCTGGTTGTGTCGTCTTCCAAGACTACCCGAGGAGGGAGCTCTTCCCTCCCTCCTCCCCTTCCCACCCCTGCTCCTCTAAAGCTTTGTAATCTGGCTTGAACACGCACCGCTCTCTCTTCTGGGATTTCCCTCGAAAGCCTGCTAGAGGAAAAGGAAACAAGCTCTTTCATTTGGCTTTGAACACGTAGGAAGTCTTTGCAGGAAGGTGACTTTGTTTCTGCTAAGTGTATGTTTTGGCTCTTCATGCCTGGTGCTTTCTACTGAACGCGCTCCTTAAGGAAGTTCACCTTTCCCCTGCAACATCCCAGTAGCCTGCAGGTGTCCAAACAGCCCAAGCTGAGAACATAAGTACATAATTGAGCATGACAGGTTTAGGATCGTTTTGTGGACTGAAGGCCTGCCCTGCCTGGGAGGGGAGAGGTGAGTGAGCGGGCTCCCTCTGCTGGGTGCTTTAGTAAGCTGTGGTGGAAGGACCGCGTGGTACATCTCCAAAGTTACTGGTGTTACCTGTCTGCTGGGTTGGAGCTGTGCTTGTGTTGTCTCCCTTCAGTAGGTCCAACACTCCAAAACAGGATGGGAAGGCCTTGCCTGTCAGAGTTCCTGTCGCCTTTCAGTTCTTTTAGGGGTACTGGTTTTCCATGTCCATTCCAGTTCCACTGATACAGGAGGGTTTCCTACCACATGGGAGCTGCGTGGTTCTCGGCAATGCTGCTGTGAACCGTCAGCGTTACGGACTTTGTTGCTCAATTTCTGTCCCGCAGACCCATCTGACCTTTGGCAAGGAGTTCACAGAGGCAGTTGAAATGAAGCAAGTGGCCCAGCAAGAAGCAGAGCGAGCCAGATTCATTGTGGAAAAGGTACCTTGTCCTAATGCGAGACTTTGATTTGGAAACGGTTCCCGGTATATTCCTCCTGCTCTAGCTAGCGGTGAACGTTTCAAGTGTCACTTCTTACCAGAGCTGCTGAACAGAAATATGTGGAGGGGTTTGAGGTTGAGATTTGCAACCCAAATGATCCTGCTCTTTGCGGATTTTTAGAGGGTTGCTGAAGCTTTCGGTGGTGTTTGGTATCACAGGCACGGGGGCCTGTGTCCTAGCAGTATTATTAACTGCACGCAAGACCGCGTAATCTCAGATCAACCTAGAATCTCAGTGAGGAGCCTGAGCAGCCACAGAAATAACTTTATGTAAAAGTTCCCCAGTAGAGCTGAGAACACAAGCCTTTTGTGACTGCCAGAACCTGAAACTATACCCAAAATTAATCCAGTGGAGGCAGTAAGATGCTTGTAAACAACCAGGATGATTAAATAGCAGAAGAGTTTATCTAGCCTGGTTTTAACTCCTCTGATGAAGATCTCAAACATTTCTTAGGCAATTTTCCAGCAGGAGTGCCCTTAGATGGGTTAATGTTTCCTGCGTTTTAGACTGATAAGACAATTTTAAAATGAGCTTTAAACCTGTTCTCCCTAGTGGCAAAAAAGCAGTCAAACAGAATACACCTTTAAAATAAAATCACCTTTTATGTTAGCTCTTGTTAAGTTTCCTACTGAGGGGGGGAGCAGTATGGTGATGAGGTGGGAATTTATCCTTTACATGTGACAATAGTATCTTCCTTCTCCTGCTTTGTTCTTGTTTCCTCTGTTGCTCATTCCCCTTCTCATTTGTTCTCTTGCAGGCTGAGCAGCAGAAGAAAGCAGCTGTCATCTCTGCTGAAGGAGACTCAAAAGCAGCTGAGCTGATTGCCAACTCGTTGGCTACTGCAGGCGATGGTTTGATTGAGCTGCGCAAACTGGAGGCAGCTGAAGACATCGCTTACCAGCTCTCACGGTCCCGCAACGTCACCTACCTGCCCTCTGGACAGTCTGTGCTCCTCCAGCTGCCACAGTGAATGTGGCTCTGCAGCCGTAGTTAACCTGATCACTTCTACCTACCAGATCAGCCTTTTCCAAAACAATCATTGCAATTTCCTGATTGGGTAAAAGAAAGGAAATTAAAATCCAACCCCTTTTGAATTCTTAATCAAATAAAACTGAACACTCTTGACAACAAACCTGCATTCTTCCCATGTATGGTCAGAGCAGTGGCTCCAGTGACCATTAAGCTAGGTTTGAGAATTGCCCCTTTCCAGGCAGTTTGAGCAGCAGGAGCAGAGCTGGGGAGTGTTTTCATCTCTTGACTTCTGGGATGAACAAGTAGCCCAGGAGACTTCCTGACCACAAGAGTGCCGAATCAATCAGGTTTCACGCTGATGCTTCAGTGCCTTTTGGCTGGCTCAGCCAGGGTCGTTACAGACTTGCATGTCCTGGACTATGGAACAGGGATGCTCAGGGCTCTTTCTTCCTCAGTCAAGCCAGTGTTTTTCCAGGTGTCAACTGACAGTAAGAGGACATCTCAGTTGTTAGGTTAGCGGCTCTGCTGTGCCTGTGTGAACCGTGGCACTGTTAGCAGGAGGCACAGATTGAGTGGACTGTGGCTGGGGTGAGAATAGCAGAGATCCACCTTAAGCACTAGATGGAGTTTTTCAGGCATGGAGGAGAAGATGCTTCCTCTGCAGGAACTACTTCTCACTCCCATGCTGGAAGTGGGACATCTCCACTTCTCCCCACTTTGCCACACACTGTTCTGTTTGCTGTCACTTGCCCTGTTGTGCAACCATAGTTTTTTCACCAAGGTCAGAAAACGTAGCAGCTGGTCTATTCCAAATGGTGCCTCGCACAACGAGGGGCTGACTCAGTGCTCTGTGGCTCAGGCAGTCTGAGGTGGGCATAATTCTCTGTTACATCAGTGTTCTTTTTATTTAGGGAATCTGAATTACAAGGAGGATGTGATGGGTGAGATTGTATAACTAGCCTTCAATAAATGCCATGGTCCCAAGCCTAACCGTGTGTTTTTTGATACCTCAGAAAAGAGAAGGTTGGGTCAGTGGAGCAAGACACCTCATGCTTGTGCTACGTTATTTGGATAAAAGTCACTTAGCACAAGCAAATAGTCTCAATCCGAATAACTTAAACCTTGAAATATAATCGTCTCAGGCTGAATTCTTCACTTGTGACAACGTAAGGCTAAGAATACCTTGAGGTGGTTGTGAGATTTCTCTTCCACGGTTCCCGCCGCACAGGCACAAGCAGAATTGCTCAATGAGAGAAGGTAGGCTGTTGCCTGGACAGACCTCAGGATCCAAGACATGAGCCTCTAGCTGGATTCTGCTCCCAACCAGGCCCAGGCAAGTCCCTCTGTTCTACTCCTGTTACTTCTATATTTAAATAAGAAAGAGCTGTAAAGCCTAGAACATGGCTACCCTGAGTTTATATGTAAATACATACATATATATGTATATATATATATGTATATATATATATACACGATATATAGATATAGCACGTTTGAGCTGCTGGGCATGGAGGAGGCCCCGTTCTCTGCAGTTTCTACTCCAACCTCATATAAGAGCGTCCCTACAAATGGACCACGCCTCCATACTGGAGCTAAATCTTGGTTCCTTCATGTTTGCTGGAACTCAAATCAGGTTGTGAATATGTTGCACTCCCTTCAGAACAAAGAGAACTCTGAGGCTGAACAGGTTTTTATTTCTGATCTTCAGATGACGTGCCTGGGAGCATTGGCTCGGCCCCTTCACTTCTCAAGTCCTCTTTGGCTTCCTTTACCTCCACAAATACACTCAGTAGGCACTTTTAAAGCCAGAGGGCCTTTCCTTTCTTTCCCCGTGCAGTTTGAGCTGTTGTTTACTGCACATACATATGTTTTCCAGGGCCGCTGTTTTATTTCCAACAGCGTGCTGTTGCATCAAAAAAGCAGTGGGTTCTACCAGACGCTGCCTGCCGTGAACTTCAAACCTATCACTGGCTGTCAGAAGGCCCTGTACTTGCCTGGCACGCCATTACCCCCATCCTGCAAATAAGATGCTCATATAGTGTCTGCTGTCCCTAAGCAATGCAGCTTCAGGTGGATGTGATCACTACCCTGAGGATGTTGAACCACTGGGAAGATTTCTGTAAGTAGAGGGCTCATTTTGTCATCACACGGCCGCTTTGGGTTGTTGTCCTACCCTCTGGCAAAATGGAGAGGAAAGACTTGCCTGCTTTTTTTGCTGGGCAGGGTATATGCTTGCAATGATGAGGTGTCTGAGCTTGCAAAGTATTTTAAGCAGCTGAGCAGTCAGGCCTATAACTCGCAAATAACTTCCAGACCTCTTCTTTCTACAGGGCTCTTGTTCTTTATTCTTCTAGTTTACTGCTTCAGACACTGTCTTAAGGAAGCTTCCACTTTTCTCCCGAGGTTCCTTTTAAAGCCCTTTAGTGTTTCCTGCATTTCCCTGCTGAGTTTCATGCGCCAGGTGTTGGGCTCAAAACAGTGGGTTTAAAATCCCTTCTCAGCTTCTGTGGCTCTGCATTACTTCTGCCTCCAGTTTTGTGTTTTCAGTGGAGTGTGGAGTGTTTCCTGCTGCTTTTGCTGTTAGCCTCTCTGGAGAAGGTGTCTGAAGGCTCTAACGGTGGCCCCTGGGTCTGATTAATCACCATTTCCTTTGCTTTTGGGTGTAATTCTTTTCACAAATGTTCCCTGGCTGTTAACTGCTCCGTTACCCTCGCTCTGCCTCACTTAATGCCTAAAGCTGCCGTGAACTCATCAAACTTCAAAGCTGCTCTTGAAGCTGTAGCTGTCTCGGTACATGCTAGCTGAACTTGTTTTTTATACTGTGTTTATAGCTGCCCTTCAGCCTTGTAGACCGTGTGGACCCTCTACCCATCTGTATCCAGATGGGGAGCAGTGACCTTAAAATCAGGACCTGATTTTGTGTGGGCTACACAGCAATACTGGGTGAGGAAACACAGAGCCTTTCACTTGCTGGATAGCCGCTGCTCTGAGAGCTGTGCAGCAGTGAGTAAACACTGCCAGTACCGGGCATCCTCTACCAACCGTGTCAGGTGCTGTCTGACTCCTTGGTTTTAAAAAAACAAACAAACAAACAAAAAAAACCAACAGTCAAGATTGCATAGCCAAGGATCAGCCTCCCTGGCATCCCTGGCCAAAGTTGGACTGAAGAGAGCCAAAGGTTGAACTCTCTCTGCTTCCCAGAACGCTGGCCCTCCTCTCACAGCATTTGGAAGGTGTTGGCAGGGTGTGAGCTCTTGCTCTCAGTGCTGTACTTGTCAGGGCAATAGAAAGAGCTTCAGGCTTGGGTAACAGGAAGGCAGGCCGCTCTTGCTGCTCTAACAAATAAGATGTTCCCACCCTCCCTGTTTGGCATTTTTCCAACCTTGTTGCTCTTAATAATCCAGGAACAAAAACTTTTTCATGAAAGAGCCCCCACCTGGGGGTGAGGAGACAAGACAGAAGGTCAAGGCACGTGGTTTATACTAAGGGCAAAGAGGCATTTTGTTAGTGTGGGGCTTAAGTCTGCCCTGCCAGACAGCCTGCATAAGCCACTTGATCCACTCAGAGTCCTGAGACCATCTCCTGCTCTGCTGGCCTAGCCAGGACCAGCTCCCAGCTGCAGGGCACAGCTATTGCAAGTGCTGCCTGATCAGTGGGGTTCTCATGCTCAGAGCTGCTAGGCAGATGGTCCAAAAACAGCAGATCTCCCACTTCGCCTTACCCTAAAGAATAAGAGAGGCGCTGTCTTGTGACTGTGCCTGATGGAGCAAGCACTGGCCATGAGGATGGAGTACTCCATGAGCACCGTGTGCCACATCTTTCCAGTGAGACAGAGGCACACCTCAGCTCAAGGTAAGCCATGCTCACAGGTGGGAACTAGTTGGATGATACTATTTGAAGGGAGGTAAAGAAACTTTGGGTTAGTTTCTGTGAACAGAAAAGCCAGTGGGCCTGTGGTTTGGTTCTTGAGCCTGGATTCCCGCTGTCTAAAATGACACAAGCTCTGATTGAAGCATTTTCTGCAGTTAGGCAAATAATAACAATTCTTTGCCGTGTGCGCTTTCTGATGTTTAGCGGGGATCACAGCCACGCTAAAACTTTTGCTTTGGGGAGGGGGAATGCTTTCCGTGGTCAATTCTTCCTCATTTTGGCCACCTCTTGGCCAAAACGCTTTGAACTCAGTATATTTGACTCCCCCATCGATTAGTTTGAAATTGGCTTCCTCTGGAGGAAGGACAGGCACAGCATGGTGCATAAAGCCACTGCTTTCCCAGTAAGGCTAGGATATGTTAGCAGGCTGGAGGAAGCATGCCCTTCTTTAGGCAACCCAGCTAAAAGGGCCTAAAAAGTTACTCAAAAGGCTTCGCCCCAGATCTCTGCCTGAGTGTTCAATAGTCAGAAATAAATGCCCTTCTATGAGGCTTTCCATCCCCAAAGCTATGGACACCGACTTGCACCAGCATCACAACAGGCACTCCTGATGTTTCTGTTTTCCAACAGATATCGTTAAATTTAGCATCAGTCTTGGGGCATGGGTTGTTTTGCGGGTAATTGATGGAGGCTATAGCTTTGCTGTTAACCACAACTGGCCACCTTAGCTAAAAAGAACATCTGGGAAGAGACCAACACCTTTTTCAGAGGGCAAAAGGAATACAAATCGAAGAGCAGGTGAGGCTGGCAGCCCAGGCTGCTCTCCCACCAGATGGCAGCAGCAATTCTGCTCTCTGCTGCCAGGGAGGGTGATGGGGACCAAAGGGTGTCCCTCAGGCTCCCTGTGGGGACAGGTGAGCATGGAGGTCACCCTACCCTTGGCAGAGGACACAAGGAGTGGACAAGGACAAACACAAAAGCACACAGTCCTTCCTGAGCAAGGAAGAAAAAGCACAGTCTGGCATGACACCGGTCTGACAGCACCGCACGGACAAGGGCTCGGGAAGGCAGGTACAAAAGTTCAGTCCCTTAGTTAGTAGGCTGTCCTGGTAAATCTGTGATGCCCGCTGGACTCTTTGAGGAGTCCCTCCACTCCCAGCTCCGGGTTTTAACCCCTCTAGACGAAGGTAGTACACTGAAGGACACAAATGCCTGTCTCTGCCTTTAACTCTGGTCCTAGGGCAGCTTTGCTTTGCAGTGCATTTCTTCCCAAAGGCAGCGCTTTGAGCATTCCTCCCTTGCCCCTTTCTCAGCCCGCAAAGGCCGTTCCTGGTTTAGTATTAATTCAAAGCGTGTTGGGGTAAACACCACAAACATCCAGGTATGATTTCAGAGGCACAAGTTGCTTTAGCTTGGCATTACAAGCCAAGCTTGTAATGTTACAAATAATAACATTTGAGTTCTCGGGTCCAGACCCTCAATAGTATAAATCCAGGAGGCCTGGTGCAGGTAAAAGCTTGGCAGTATTTTAATCTCAAGCCCTGGCCCCAGAGTCATTACAGTGATAGCAACATTGATTCATCACTTGTATTTCTCTGAATACAGCTCAAGTACTAGGCTACAGGGACCAGGTTTTCAGCAAGATCTGATGATAATGGGCAACATGAGACCTACTAGGGCTGCTGCTGCAGGGCCCCCCATATGAGGCTGATTGCAGCCCTCTCTGCTGTAAAGAGCTGCCAGAAGACCAAAGAGCAGCAGTTAGTTGCCACTTTCACACATCAAAGCTCTACCAGCTGAGGTGAAAACTCCCTGCCCACCACTCTTTTTTTTTTTCTTTTTCTTTTTCTTTCTTCTTCTTCCCGGGGAGACTTTGCCTTGCTGCTTCTCCTTCCTTTCATGCTAAGAGGAAGAGCTCAGCTTTGCACTACCCACAGCAGCTGGGCTAGCAACATTCAGACCAGCCAAACAAGCTTTTGTTCATGATAAACAAACAGGAAACTGCCCGATTTCCTCTGTGTGTTCACCCTCTCTCTCCCACTTTCATAGATAACCAACCTACCTGACTTGTGAAGAGGCAGGCGACTAAAAGCAAATGCATGGACAGGCACTTTGGAGCAGCTGTAATTTGCAGCATGGCTACTGCATAGAAATATGCATCTGCTCCCTGACAGTTGCTGATGCACCAGAGCTGAAGCCTCTCCAGGTAAGAAAGCTCCCTGAATTTGTGATAATTTGTACCCTGCAGCAAGCTGGCAGCATGTCTGAAGTGGTTAGAGCAAGGGATAGGGAGGAGTTTCCTTATTGCTTCCTTTGTGCTGTTTATATCCAAGTGGACTGAACAGAAAATGTCTCTGTCCTGAAATGCAGAGGAGGTGGGGGGGGGGGGGGGAAGCACTTGTGGAAGTGGGTAGAAAGTTTAAAAACGTCCTAAGTCAGGCTGGAGCTCAGCTGGGCTGGGAGAAGGGGAGCATCTGAGGACTAGCACTTCTTAGGGCCAAATTCTGTTTAGTTATTCCTCGCCAGGCGCTAGGCAGCACTGGGGACTGAGACGTTCCTCACATGCCTGTTTTCCATCAGCAGAACTCAGTTGACTTCAGTCCAGCGAGTCCTGACTTACACTAGTGTAAGTAAATCTCAGAGGTGGGTCAGGTTTACTTAAGAGATGATCGACTCTGCTTTGGGTTTTCTACTTGGTAAAACAGGGAGTGACTGTCATAGGCAGAGGGGTAGCAGGGTGAGTGATGGGGGACATAAGTATACCCCAGCTAGGAGATGCATAACAACCTTCCAGAGAAGATGAAGCAGCTGATGTCTTTAGAAAAATACAATGGATACTTCTTTTAACCACACGCTCACCACAGCTATGCTAGGTTCACTTTTCCTACTCATAAAAAGCAACAAAAACCAAATCTGTGGAGAAGGGACCTGGCGGGGTAGGCATCTATTTCTTGCTGAACGCTTCCCCAGAAAGGAGAGGAACTAGAGAGAGTGGGAAGCACCCATAGGACCCATCCCACTTGAGTAAAAAGCATCACCACAGCTAACCGTTCAAAAGTGTGGGCAGTAGCTTAACCCTCTTTGCAATGAGGACCAACTCTTTAAGCAAATATTACAATGAGAGGTAACGGTCTCAAACTGAGATTTGTGTGAACATGCAATGTTCTGCAGCATATTGCAAGGCAAGCATCATTACTGCCTCTCTGCATGGCTATGACATGACTCTTGCATGTCACTGTGGCAGTGAAGTGACACTCTGTGATAAATTAGAAGTACATACAGCAGGGCCCATAACCAAGCCCCAAACCCTGGCCCTCTCCTGAGGCTGAGCTCAACTGCTGGTGTAAAACCAGTGTTAGGGCTCGTGCACTGGATCTGCAAACAATGCTGATCTGGAGCAGGTCAGAAATCTGCAGTGAGCTAACCTTGACCTTTGACAAGCCAAAGCTGTGACTGAGCATGGGAAAACTGAGTGCCCAAACTGGAGGGCAGTGCAGAACATGGAAAACAGGGGGAGATGCCTGTTGCAAGATGAATGGTCACTGGTACTGTGCAGCTCAGGGGAACGGGGCAGCAAGGCAGGAAGGGCAGGAGGAGGCTAGGAAAGCATGCGTGCAGGATGCCTCTGAAGCAGCAGGTTAAAAATACTCCTGCGCGCAACAGAGGCAAGAACAGGAAGGAAGCATGGGTTAAGCCTGAACAAGGTGAGTTTATTCTGGAGATATTAATTCAAACATGTCTTTCATGGGGATGAGTCTCATAATGCCATTTCTGCAAAGCTGGTAAATAAGGCTCTGTTGAGGCTTCATGTTTCTGTCACCTAAAGCATCTTCCTCCCAAACATGACTTTCCCCAGGTACTTTTCAAACCCAGAGGGAAGTTTCTACACAAAAAACTATGCTGGAAGATTGGGTGTGAATGGAAAAAACTCCAGTTAAACCAGTTCATTCCTCACCAAGAGACTCCAGCCAAGATATAAGGACCTGCGCTTGCACTACTTTGATAAGGGTTGATCCTGATCTGAGCAGAAGTGCTCTTAACACAGGAATAGAAATGTCCTCAGGCCATGCTATGGTGATGTTTCCATTTAAGAGTTATCCCAGCACAAATGTTAAAACTTCCCCTTTGTAGGCAGTCCACTGAGGAGACCCCCTGATATTATAGCATAAGCCAAAGCTGATGAAACAGGCAGCAAATAGAGTAAGAGCCCAATTCTGTGAATTTCCCTTGCTCCCACCCTGCTCTTATTCAACTGTTGTAGCCCAGAATCTGTGTTTTACTTTGCAATTAAAAAAAAAAAGGCACAAAACAAAGGCGATTTCTTAATTTCTGTGGAATGATTTCATGAGGAGGCCGATGCAGATGGTTCTGATAATACAGTCATGTTACCACCCTGCCCCAAGCACCCCAAAGAAAGTTATGCATGGATCTGTCAGGTTTTTCTGTATTATACAAGGCTGTTGCTGCTGCCTTGCCTGGGCCTTTAATGCACAAGGCCCTGTAACATCCAGCTGTCAATGCTGTGTCTCTGAAGAACCCCCCAGCATTGAGATGCTTGAAGTGTTAAAATATGTCAGGGAGGGTTGAGTGTGTCTTCTCAGAAGGGCAGAGTTAAGGCTACTGTTACCTTACTGGAAGGTACCTCCATCTGCTTTCTGCTTCTCAGATGCTTGTTTGTTGCCTGTCAACTCTGCCTACATCCTGCTGCTCAGGAGGCGATGTTGGTAGACGTAAACTCTGCAATATTATTTGGAGGCAGTTAATCTTTAATTGCGGCCTTACCGTGGATCAGTAGAGGAGAAGAGACAATAGGCACGGGAACTTCCTCTGCTTGAACTTCCACTCTGCTCTGATACAGTCTCAAGGCCAGATCCTCTACATTCAGTGGTGGTGGTTCCCTCAGACAGTATAGGGCTTCCTGTGACAAGGGTTAGCAGGAAAAGCCCTTTGTTTTCCTTTTGCTTCCTTTCCCATTGCTTGAGAGGGCCCTGAATCCTGCAGGACATAGCAGGATGCCTAACAGATAAAGCATTGCTCCGAGAGTCAACTGGTTGGGTTGCAGATATGGTCAGCAAGGTGTCAGCACCCCTCTCTGTGCCTCAGTTTATTTTCTCAACCTTGTTTGTTTTCCTAGTTGGGGCAGGGACTTTCCTTGCGATGTCCCTGCATAGCACCCAGCTCCAAGGGCCCTTCCCTGCAATCAGGGAAGGAGTCCTGATTGCAACCATACTCTCACAAGCTCCTCGGCACTGAGTCAGTTCAGACTCAGAACTGGCTGTTCTCGACATAGAACGGTTACATCATGGCAGCCTCAGCAAAACATCAAGCATGTGGAGAAGGGCTAGCGCTGTTTCACCTGGACCTGGGTGCCAGCCCTGTCACCAGCAGCAGCAAGCCACCAAAAGTCACCTCTCACTGCCGACCTGCTGTGGTGCAGAGTGGGAGGACACACGTAGGACAGCAGGAAGGGAGCCCGTCATGTTGTCTGTGGGGAAAGAAACGGCTAGAACAGGAACCTTTCTCAGAACAGGAAGGACAGCAGTTCCTTGATGACTGCTTTAGTTAAGCTGATGCTTAAGTTTATGCAAGCTGGTGACCCTGAAGCCAGCTGCCAGAAAAAAACCTTTCAACGTACTGTGGACTCAGATGACCAACCCAAGAAGCTGTTTCTGTTCTGCCTGGAATACGTGTGTACATGGACGCTGTCCTCTTCCCAAGCTATCACTAGGCACTCACAAGGGAAGGAATCCTTTTGCACAGAGATCTTGCTCTCATTCTCCTCCTGAAATGCATTCTCTTCAGTCAGTTGGCTCTCATCTGGCTCACTGGGTGTCAAGAGTTTCCCAAGAAATCATCAGAGCAGGAGTTCAGATGATCTTTGTTGACAGCAGAGAATCATCCTTGCCTGAATAAAGCAGAGAACTCTTGTAAACTGTGTCCCATCCCACAGAAGCACAGTTCACATAGGACTGCAGCCCTCAAACTGGGCAGACATCTCCAGAACCAGAGGATTCCAGCCCAGGTTTACTACCTGAAAGCCATATGAAATAGCCAGGGGTCACTCAGGAACGCCTAGCTTTACAAACCCAAGAACACTGCCCACACAAGAAAATTAACTGCTGATAAAAGTGAGAGCTCATTTCTGTTCGAGTTTCCCCTTCCTACACTCTTCTGCAGCTGTTGCTAGTGGTTATCTCCACCACAGAACTAGCTGCATCTCAGCAATACTCTTCTATGTTAAATTTGCTTTCTTAGCAAGTTTAGAACATCTATTTCTCTAGGAAAGAAAAAAAAGCCAAGTAATGCTGTATCCTAGTGTTTCTGAGGCCTCTGGCCCAGCAGACACTCATACTTTTATTTTACTTTTCACCCTGAAAAGTTCTAAGCTGCTCTGCAGGAAAAGATCTTGTTTCTAGAGAGGCACGTAGAGACCTATGCTCTCAGCATTCACCTATGCTGAATTGCAGCTACTTCTAGAGTGAGCTGCAACAGTTGCTTGCTGAAACAGTGCAACAGTTTAGGGCAGAAAATGAAGATATTTATCACCCGTCTCTGCCACTGCATGCAACGAGGAGGAAGCATGCGGGCATTTCCCTTACTGGTTATATTTCAGAGACAAGGGGAATGCCAGGGAAAGGGGGCCAAGATGCCACAGGATCTTATGAGCAGGCAACAAGATGCAGGAAGTTGCCTCTAGAAGTTATACAACAGTGAAAGGAAAGCAGAGATGACAGCAAGGAAATCAGAGGGGTGATAAGGATCTGTGGCTGTGAAGCAGGTGTGCACTAGGGAGCAGATCATGTGCGAGCAGAGAGAGATGTGGAGCTGTTGCTGCATTCTGTTTTGTTTCCCTCTACCTGGCTGACATGTCTTTTCACGTCAAAAGCTAGATCAAAGAGAGGGATGTAAATAGGTGAAGCAGGCTCCCTCGTGGGAACAGGGCTGAGTGCCACAGCCAACCTCTCAGCTGGATTCCTCCCTGGGAGCTGGCATGAAGAGCTGTCACTCTCCATTAGCCAAGCACCAGGGAAGAAAGTGCGCGACTGCAGGGTGATCTGGGCATTCAGGAGCCGAACCACACAGCGAGGCTAAAAAGAGTCACGCTCCTTTGCGATGGCCTCTTCCCTAAGCCACCACCGACACTGATGGGCCACAGCAGGACCACGCTTTGGTTTCATCATGTTAGAAGCCCTTCAGACTCCAAGGATATTTGCACTTGGTCCCTTTTTTTCTTCTCCCCCTGCACAGTCCTGGTGACCACTGAGAAAGTGGCACTCCACATTTCCTTTTAACCTCTGCACAGCTTGTATTTGGGGGGAGGAAAATCACCTTGCTGACATCATCTGAAGCTGATGACACTGAGCACCTTTCACAGGACAGGCCCCTGCAATCCTCCAGTTGCCATTTCAGTATGAAGGGATCTCATGCCACAAGCTCAGGGTAAGGAAGGCAGGTTAGAAAACCACAGGCACAACCTCAGAGAAGAGAGCAGCAAAACAGACCAGGACACCAAATGCTCTCCTCACATGCTGGAGGAAGGGATCATCAAGGCACTGGCCTACTCCTGTCCCATGGACAGACACCAGCAGTGGCTGCTGCCTTTGTGCAGGTGGCAAAATAGCTGATAGCTTTCACTGATCATCTGTGCTCCTTCAGACAAGGGTGCCCATTGGTTTCCAGTGTCCCCTCAGCTGTCATTCTGCTAAAATCCCATATTTGGAAGAGGGGATCTGTCACTCATCACTATCACGTTCAATCACCTTCCAAGCAAAAGGTCCCCAGCATTTTTTTCCTGCCCTCTTCACGTCTCAACTTCTAAAGCACGTGGGAAATTCAGCTACGCAGCATCCCTCAGAACATACACAGTTAACCAGCAGCAGCACCACATCCCCTGACATCCTCTCTCCATTTTTCTCAAGAAGCTGCATTGCGTGAGGGTGTTGAGCTAAGGTGGAGCAGTGCTGATTCTCTCAAAGCCCAGGGTCTCCTCTGGCTGCCCCTTCCCGCTCTGGCTATACACAGTCCCAGCAGAGATTAGAACAGCCTGGGGCCTGCTCTGAACTGGACCAGCTAGTAAGAGCTCCCATGGGGCTGGTCAGAGCAAAGTGCACCGTGCTCTGCTCCTTTCCCATGCCCCCACAGCAGGGGTTGTTGGGGCAAGGAAGAAAGCTGGCAACATTGTTCTCATCCCACCATGGGGTTCCTCCTGTCTACACTGCCCCTTTTATTTGATAGTGAACTCTTGACAGTCCCAATCCTCACTCCGTGCAGGGAGCTCAACTCTGGGTTTTACATTCAGTAATCGAGAGCAGGGCAAATACATTTGCAGGCAGTGGGGGATGGACTGTTTGTAGAACCTCAAACCAAGGGCCCTCCAGTGTTAAGAGGCCATCTGCAGCAAACACAGCAGATGCAGAAACAAAACAGAAGCAAAGACGGGGTTGGGGACGAAGGACAAGAAAGGGGGCCAGGGCAGCAAGGTGAGTCTGAGAGGAGGCAGTCAAAGCAGCATGGCACAAGAACAGATTCCTGATGTCCCTGGGCAGCAGCTACCGCTAAAGAACAGGGCTAGTGCCCTTCCCCCTTTTCCTGTTTCTGCTACTCTTGCTAATTCTTTTACAGCCGCCAAACCTAAACCACAGCAGTGCTCTTCCCTCCTACACAGCGCTCAGCAGTGGTTTTCAAGGCTATGGAGTAGGCTTTGTAGCTTCCTAGGAGAAGGGAAGCTACCGGCGCTGCCAGCCCAGAGAGAAGCAGCCCTGACCCACCCCGCACCCTTTCACGAGCCCCCGACCCACTGCCAGCGCTGGGCTCGACCAGCAAAAACCCATTTTTAAACTTCTTGTCACCTCTGCCTTCTCACACGCCAGGCCCGGGCCTTGCAGGTGGGTGTAAGCACGAAACCACAGGCCAGAGCTAAGTAGTTATTAGTATTTGAGGGGGAGAAGGAGGTTTGAACGAGTGAGAGCTGGGGTTTGGCACAACGCTAACAGCAAGGCAGGCCGGGCCTCGCTGACGGGGCCTTTCTCAAGGTCTTACCT